ATATATAGTTATGCTACATAATATCAGTACAATTTGTGTACTGATTTTTTGTTCTCTGTAACTGAACTATTTGTATTGTTTATCTTTTCTTTTTTTAATGTATTTTCTAATTATATATATAGATATATATTTATTTTAGATGTAGAAAATACAATATAGTGTAGCTACAAGGAATGTTTTGGAATATAATTTTTATTTTTTTGTTTATTTTTCTTGAATTTATTTTTGATATTTCTGAGCTATATATTGTAATTTTCAGACACAAACTTATACTTATTATATATGGTTACGTTCCATTTTTCAGTGTGAATATTGACAAAAGCAAAATTATGGTGATTATTTGATATAATAAACAAATTAAGAAGATTTTGAAAAAAATGAAGTTCTTTTATCTTCAAGAAAACTGAAGCTATACTGGATCTTTTGGTTTAACTTATATAGAACCCTATTTTATGTATGTCTATCGATAGTTGGTGTCATTACGTTACATTATATAGCTTTTTTATTATGCAAAATATATAAATGGCGACATACAATATCACCGACAACTATCTGTGTACAGAATAGGTTCCATGATATTTTGCCTTTGTGGACTGGAAAACAGTTTTGGAGAAGAAGAAGTAATGTGAACTAAAAATTTTCAGTATTTAGTAGATAATAGAACACAGTTTGCTTAAACAATCGGATAAATAAAAAATAATATTACTGTAGTAGTTTAGTAGAGCACTTGCGTTTCAAATCTAAAAAGAAATTCGACGCCAAATTAAAAATCTACATTTGTAGTATAGTATATAATTTCACAAGGAATTATATAGAAGCACCCAAGATCCAGCTTGATCGTTATAGCCTGTTTTCATCGGTTTTTCTTAAATTTTCACAGTCCTATAAGATTTAATATTGTTTTTATATTTGATTTCTTAATTTCCTAATTGTAACACGCTTTATTTTTTATTTGCAGAAGTGAAGTAAAATGTACAATGGCATTGGACTTCAAACTCCACGTGGTTCTGGCACCAATGGACACGTTCAAAGGAATTGGGCCATTGTGCGAAAAAAAAGTGACAAAGTCACTTACAAGATGGAAGAGTCCAAAGTTGATCAATTGAATAAGCAGCCAAACAAGGAAATCCTAGACCACGTCAGAAAGAGGAAAGTTGAAGTCAAGTGTGCGGAGTTGGCTGATATTCTAGAAGACCAAGGGTAAATATCCATAAGTTATAAATCCACTCTTTATATTCTTTATATTTTGAACTTTAAAAAGTTCTTGAATTTATAAATTATATCAAAATATAATTTATCATTTTTCTTTAAAACAATTGTTATCATATTAATCATGTTATAATTCATAATTCAGTGTTTTATGATCATTTTAATTATTATATAATTGTTTTAAGGTCTGAAATAACAATTAATAATTACCGATACAGTTTGAGTCTTTGTTTTCAACAGAATTTTAGATGACTGTATTATCTTCGAACTATATGTTGAAGCCAAAGGCGAGCAAAACAAATCCTATTACAATTTATAATCTTATTTAAGTCTGAAAGTAAAAAAGCTGCTTAGGAATTAGATTGATAACTTGCTTATGACCTAAATTATCTGATGTAATATGAATACAATGTGGATAACATAGAGTATGCTTTAAATATAAAATATAGTAATATATGTGGAAAGTAATGTAATTTTTAAATAATTTGCAATCACAATTTTAATAATAGGATAGGAAATTAAATTGGAATAAAGATGACATTATTCTTTTCGTAAAGTAAAAAAGTTTATGATATTACATCCTATGCTTACTTATATGATATTCTCGTTATTGAATTGCTTTGTTTATTGTATTTTTTAATACTAGATTTATTGTTGAAGTAAATATATATATATATATATATATATATAGAAATACAGAATTATAAAAACATATTTATTTGACAATTGATATAATCTTGTCTTTCTTTTGCTGTAAATTACAGATATACAAACGAGGAAGTAGAGAACAAGATAGAACAATACAGATCATTATTAATGGGTAGCGATATTAAATCATCCACACCGCAAGATGAATTTGGCCGAGTTAAGTAAGTATATTTGATTTAATCTTTTTTAAAATTAGCAAGAACGAAGGACTTTTAACATCAAATAATATTTAAAAAATAAATGACATGTAAGAGTCAGTTAATTCTTATATATTTTCTTCTTTTTCTAATTTTTCTTTAGATTAAAACAATTACAAAAATATATAACGAATTGAAGTAAATTAGTGATGAGGCATAATGTAACAATTCAGAATAAATTAATTGTAGATAATTAGACTATAGTAATCATATATACAGCTTGATCATATTGGAGTAATACAAAGATAAATAAATAAAAAATCAGAGTTAAAATATTATCTAATCACCTTATAAATCGAATATATATATGAGAAATTTAATACATTTATACAAATTAAATGTAATATATTTATATTATATATTTATCTGATTTATATATTGTATCTATATATATATATATATTATTATATATGATATTAATTAAAAGATGCGTTAATTGTTATAATTGAGATTATATTTAAATTATATAATTTTAAATTTAATAATATAATTTTGTTAACTAAAAAAGAGATTGTTGTGAAAAACGCGATAGCACTTTATTTTTGAAGTGTACGACATTCTGAGGGGAGAACTTTCCTTTTCATATTGATTTCTGTCAGCCAAATCCAGGATAATCCTGACGACGAGTAGATACTATATGCGAAACGACATATATGATGTTAAAGGTGTCTGAGCTTCTTGTGATCTCTCTGCCACAGCTTTATTCGATCTTCCGTTGAAGAAAAGCTTTTACAAATGCAACATCATATTTCGAGAAAATAAATCTACATACTTCCTGAAAAATCCTTATTCGAGAGACATTCAGAAGATTTACGACGTCTTTTAAATATTCTGGTTATCTTTTGTAGCTGTATCTTAAATTTGAATGTACGATTTTTTATACAAATTAAATGATACAATAAAGACTCAATTTTAAGGCTATGTAAAAGAGATTTTTCAGAACTGGTACATATTTAAAAATTAAACATCTTAACGCATACAGAAAGTTATTATTTAAAAACTAAATTTTTCAGAAATAGAAAAAAAACTTCCAAGAAACACAATGAGATAAAAATTCAATATTGTATTATTTTATTAATAATCAAAGTATATTGACGTGTATCATTGTCTTAAGTTAGGAATATTAATTATGAGAAATACATAGATGAAATAAAAAATTATTATTATTGACATTATTAATCAGTGTATTAAATCAGAGCGATATTGCTTTTTTTCAAGAAGATAAGTTTGTTTATTTAATGTTCAAGATTATCTTATATATAATAATTGAGAAAGCATTCTGCGGAAAGATCAGTAATTTTCGAAAGCGCAAATTACGATTATTATTATTACTGACGATTAATACAATATTTTAATTGTTCTATTTTTGCTACAAAAATATTGAGATTGAGAAAAATATAAGAGTTATCGGGAGACGCGGTATTGTCTCCGGCCATGTTCAAAAACTAAAAGACACTACAAGTCTCTTATCCCGAATCAAAGTCCATTTTTTGGGTACAGTTTTGTTAGATGTGAAACTCGAGAGGGCGGGAACACATTCCGTGGCAATCTCGGTAGGTCCGATGGAGAATAGGGTGGGTGTTACACTCGCGATATCGACGTACCCCATAGCGCCGGCGCCAAAAGGGTGAGAGATGATGAGGGGAGTGCACCCGGGCAGAGGAGAACGAGAAGTGGGAGAAAGAGGAAACGCAGCATCTCGCTCTTGGTGGCTAGCTTTTTCCGGCGCCTCAGTGCGAGGATGGACCGTCACGACGCAGCCAGTGGTCGCGTCGTGTGTCGATGGATGGTGCACCGAAGGTCGGATTAATTTGGGGTGACACCGGGTGACCCCGCCGGAAAAGGAACATGTGACACAACGCGACGCACGAACCCGCGGACAAATCACAAAAGTCTTCCATTAGCTTAATTTAATGTGGTAGCGTGATTACTATCCCGCTCCTCTAAGTCATTCCTAAGTGCTAAGTTTCGAGTTAGAGTATACATACGCGAAGTAGAGCTTAAGTCTAACGTTACAGTTTCACGGGAGCAAGCGACGATTTGCATCGTTCAAACTTACAGAAGATACCGTAGTTGAATGTGATAACAGAGCAAAAAAAATCTGCGAAGAAGATCGCACAATTTTCGAATGTATGATGCATACAAATATGAATAAATATTATCTATTACATATTTATGATCCAGTGATGAGTGAAAAAAATCTGCAGAATTTACTTAGAAAAATTGTACAACAAAAATTGTCCACTGGAACGAATTGTAACAGATACATATGAAAAATAATAAATATCGAATGTTGGAATGATTCTCTGAGCGAAAATAAAACTTAAATATTGCTCGTACACATTTTATTAAGTTAATGTAATTGTAATACAAATACACGTGAAGAAGGTATTACACGTTAATAAAACATATAAGTTAAGCATTAAATGTTAAACATTGATTGAAATGATCTCAGAAGGAGTTTCTAAAAAAGAAACTTACTAGATGAAACGGTTCATTAATGAAGATCAACATTTATAATTCAAAAATCTGAACTTTTATACTGTGTATATCGAAATATATATGATGTAGAAATAATTTGACAGTCTTAATTGAAAAAAAAAAGAAGAAAGGAAGCTTAAATTTTTCAACCGTTTTTATAAAAAAAGATCTTATGTGAAGAACTTTCTTACATATATCTTCTCACAATTTTTACTTCAATAAAAACAACTTCATCAGAAAAGAAGAAAAATATATCTTCGTGTGTCTCTATTTAGAAGAAATATAAAAAGTTTTTCTACGAAATCCATGTGTCTCCAAAACGTCGACTGCGACAAGTCGATGGTACATTGTTAAGGAAAACGTCTTGCTTCAGTCTAACAGAAAAAAGAAGCACGACGATAGTAATAGTGTGCCTGATCTGAAGTCTTCCTCAATTGTTAGAATGCGTACAGCAATGTCTCCAATGCGAGGATTTACGTATTGCTATATATTCTTTCACGATCGTATGAGCTAAGAAAGAGGGTGTTTAATAGCCCAAATAACGTAACAATAATTCTAATCAAATAATGTCATAAGATATATAGACAATGATAATTTATTCCTGATAATGATAGGAAGTTATGAGCGTAATAATAAATGATTATAATGTAACAAAACGTAATAATAAGAAATCAAAATATAAGTATAAGAAATACATGAAGTAAAAGAAACATTGAAAATATTGTGAAACATTCAGGAACACTCGGATATGAGATGATGAGAGTCGCTTGAAGAATATCAAAGTGGAACGACGCATAAGGAAAGGGAGAGACGGAACTCGTTATTGTAATCATCATTATCATCGTTGCCGTCGCTGTATGATTGTTCTAGCTAGAAAAGCCGGGACAGCGGGTACAAAAGACGCGACGACAGCAACTGACAAGAGAGAGGGTTATTACCTCTACCCGTGATTTTCTCTTTGTACCTTCACCCTTTCTGTTTCCTTCGTGAAAGGATTAAGCGTCGTAGAGCTATTTGTGCAACGTGGACCAACCGACGGAGCATCCGAAATTCAATTAGCAATCTAACATTACCTTGTCAATATTATTCACTATCTCCTTTATTTTAGGTGATCGAATAAGAAACGGTGAAAAAAAACGAAATACGTGGTAATACTCAAAATAATTATCTACCATTAGAATCGGAAGAAGAGCCGAAAAGCCGAAAAAAAATTAGAGATTATCTGTAACCACTGAACAATCAGCGATTATTCTGTACAATCACAAATACGTTTTTCATAAGAAATTAATAAATTATTATTACACTACTATTAAACACAAAAAGAACAATTTTATTTATAAAAATAAAAAAGAGTAATATCTAATGATATTTAATCTACGGTCAGAAATAGCGCTGAGCAAGAGACGATAACATCCTGGAAAGAATCTTTAGACTCGAAAGTGAATTGATTATTAGAAGAGACCAACCATCGTACTAGGTTACATCAAGAAAGATTTCTCGAAGGAAAAGATATTGACAAAGAAATTCTTGTTCGATGCTGCATCCAAATTTTGAGGAATGACAATGTCAGCGACTGTGTCACCGATGAAACCTGCGCGTGGACGAGGCCCGGCCGATGGCCGAGCCTTCTTCGAGACGCTGTGGCGAGGCGGCAACTTCCTACTAGACCGGCAAAAAGTGCTGAAGCGCTCGCGCAAACGCAAATTGCACTATGCGGCAGCCAATAACGGCAAGAGGAAGCAACAGCAACTGCTGCAGATGCAGCGTCAACACTGCTGTTGCTGTCAACGCATTCAGCTGCACCTGCTCGCCGAACGGCGAAGCAACATGCGCTCCGTCGTCAGGTGAATCCCTTTGTCAGCTTTCAATCTTAAGACTGTACACTGGAATTGTCTGCACGAGTTTTTTTTTAATCTTGTCAACGTAAATTATAGAAATAAGAATAACCTTTAAATCTTCTCTATCATTTTAGTTGTGTAACGATATTACGATTTGCAGAGACAGATGAGACTAAATAAAGATCAAATTTTCACTCGTTTTGTCAATTGTATGTAAACATGAAATTACTTTTCAAGTTTTCCCGGTGTACAGTTTACATTTTAAATAGTATAGTTAGCAAGATTAAGTTTTATAGAATGCATAGAATATCCCTGATTATTATTTTTTTCTTTAGCAAAACTACTATGTAAACTATGTAAGAGTAAATAATTTTGACTGAATTTCAGAAGAGAAGATACATAACAAAATCGTAAAATCTCGATCTTATGTAAAATTTATTATAACAGAATCATAATTTGAAGCTTAATTTAGAGGATATGAGTATTACATATCTTGATAATAATGAGAAACATTTCTCAGAAAAAGCGACGGTTGCTCAGTTTATTTCATTTTGGATTTGATTTGTTGCGCGGCGATCGACTCGGCGTAAGTCGCCGATGGCAATTGTACAGCGCAAAGGGGATGCTAGAAAAGAGAACAGCTGGATTGTATTGATCCGCTGGGTGCCGGCGCCGTGCGTGCAGGCGCGCAGGGGTGGTTCTCGCCCCGGCTCAACCCCGGTTCACCGCTTTTCACCGTCGCAGGAAAAGTAAAGAGAGAGAGAGAGGGGGAGAGAGAGAGAGAGAGAGAGAGAGACGTGCGATTCTGTCCCTGCTTGCCATTCTAGTCGTCCCGCAGAGTGTTATGTCATTAGCATTGCAACGCCCGTTAAGGACGACGTTGACATCATTTTTCGTGACTGTGTACAGGATGCTCCTGCGAGTCTAGACTTTTCTATAATAGCTCTCCAGAGCTCCGAAGAAGTAATCGTTGTCTTTAAAAGAATGACAGTGAAGATTTCGACACGGTACGCTATATCTCGATCATCTTTCATCTAGGACCTCGTGACTGTATTATCGTGAACTATCGAGTGTGCCTTATAAATGGTCTCAATAATAAAGATAATGTAGTAGGACAATATTTTGAAAATAAGACATCGACATTTAAATATATGTGAATTGATTAAATTTGATTAAATTGCTGATTTGCATTTACGTTCTTCCTGTGTGTGCAAGATGATTTGTAATTCAATCAGCTCAAACATACGACGTCTAAGCTTACGATTCTGTCAAGCTGACAGATATGATTCTGTAGAGTGTGTTATTTTATTTGTAAAATATGTATTAATATCTTAGAAATGTGAAGCTACTAATTATGTGTGTGTATATATATATATATATATATTTATATATATTTAGCAGTGAGAATAAACAATCGAATTTTATATATATATATATATGTTAAACATTTATTTATGATTGATGTATGATTTAATAATTAGTGTTGAGCCATTAGCTGTGTGAAATATTTAATCACAGTGGCAAGAAAGCTGCGAAAGTAGGATAAAATTTCTGTAAGAATTTCATAAAGCAGTTATTGCCAATTATTATTACGTATAATTAATTACACATTACTATTGTAATTTGTTACTGATTAGAATGGAATTTGTTTTTCAAAGGTGGACTTGTACATTTGTAAAAACCATTAATAACTGTAATAGTTTCTGAAAAGTAATTAATGTATATATGATTTATTTACTACTGGAAATATTGTGCAGCATATTTAATTAACTCTTTCTATTCGTGGAAACTAACGAAGTTTGCATTTTCAGTGTACGAGAGACACATCAGGTCGCCGAGGCGCAGCAGGAGAAGAATGCGAAGCTTCGCGAAGCATTCGGTATCTCCGAATTCTTCGTAGAAGGCAGTAGCCTAGATCCAGCGCGGTACGCACGCGAGGCGGAGGCGCGAGCCGCCGCCGCCGCCGCTACCGCGAGCAAAGTCTACGAGTTGGTGCGTACACCGAGTCTGACGCCGCCGCCGCCAGTAGAAACGATCACCACGACCGCTGAGAAGAAGAAGCGAAAGCGTTCCGGCAGCGCGAGCAAAAAGAAGAAGACCAAGAAGCACAAACGGGAAAGGTACAGCATAATGTAAACGGTGCGCGCACGGCTCCATGGAGGCTGGATTCGATCCCACCGTGACTTTTCTTTCTTTCTTTCTCTCTTTCTTTCTTTCTTTCTTTCTCTTGCTTCCGTTTTAAGTATCGACTCAGAGTAAGATGCGAATCGAGGCTCCAAGACCGCACACCCGGCCCCGTCACTTCCGGAGTACCCCAGAAAAGAAAAAAAAACTCGACCAAGATCCGGGTACAAAGTCTCCTCTCTTTCTCTTCCTATATCGATTAATTGAGACTGTTCGTTTTGCAAACGTTCGTATTCTTTTTCTCTCTCTCTTTTGCCTTTTTTAAGCGTTAGCCGGATTTACAGAATTGTAAACTCATGACTCACCACCTACTGTCTTATATCCCATACACCTTTCTCTGTTTCAAACAGAACTGAGGAGGACTGAGTGCCTACCCAGTAGGTGCAGTAGGTAAGTGTGGTCGTCGCGATTAATTTGGAAAAAAAAAAGTCATAATCTTCGCGCGCGAAAAATGTTTAATGTCGTGTGTATAAAAGAGCGTGATTAGTATGTTATGGAATTTTTTCTGGGGGATTGTCTCTCACGCGATTGGATATCTCCCTATGGGTAAATGTTTGTTATGTTTTCGTTTTTTTTTTTGCCAGACTATGAAAATTATATGTGTATTGTAATTCAAATATTATATATAAATTACTTTCTTAAAATACAATTTTATTTTAATTCTTTAAAAAGTGAAAATTTATGTAAAATATTAAAATGTTATTGAATTTAGAAAAATATTAATGCTGATAACGTTAATATTATAATAACGGAGATGTATCATAATTTTCTCTAATTTAAAAAATGGCGGGCAAACATTTACCGGGGATGATAAAATAATAAACACACAGGTTTTCACAATAAACGCAGAGAATGTTAAAAAGTAGAGAAAATTGCGCAAAAATGAAAATAAACGTAAACGAAAAATGAGAATCATACATTTCTATCTCTCTGTTGTTGTTTATCGATGAAGCTTGTTGTTAATGTCATCTCTCTATTTTTTTCTGACAAGTCCGTCCTTATCGATGGTTATCAAGGTAATGCTAATCCCATATTTATATCAATACTCCTCATTATGTATTATATATATATATATATATTTCGTATACTTGTCTTCCGTAAATCTTCGTTGAAAGATGTGGTTTTTCGCGATTATGGGTTATGCAACCTGAGATTGGAGAACTCGGGAATTTCGGAAATGAGTACAAAACCAGATCTTTCAAAGTGAGCTATCATGTAGTCGGTTTGTTAGCTATATCATACGATATTATACGCGATATTATGAACAATTTCACTTTTATACGCATCATTATACTTTATTTTTCCTTGTTATTGCATACACTTCAGAATGAATATTGTGATGCAAAATTCATTTATGGAGTACTTTCGAAATATTTAGGCAAACTTCAGAAATGAAAGAGAAAAGTTTATATCATTACATTGATATGAACTTTTTTTGTTTTGTTTGACTACGAGATATTTGAATGTTTGTCTAAATTATTTTGAAAGTACTTTGCATAGATCGCTGGCTTGTATTTAAAATCGAGTCATTTCAATATGTTAAAGAAAGAATTAACATTGAATTGTTGCTCTCAGAGTGAAATATATTTCCAATTTTTTATTGCGAGAAATTAAGTTTTTAAAACGGATAGCTTGTGTATATTGTACGTACATATACGTTGATATATCGATAGACTGGAGAATTGTTTTTCACGTACACTGATACGTTGTATACTACAGCTTTCTTTATATATTGTCAGCACAAAGGTATGCACTTGTCGACAGGAAGACGCCCACTGCAAGAGTTATATAAGACTAATTATCGTTTGACAAAACAAAAAAAGATGCTATCGCTTCGAAACTCTTGTAACGATCGTTCAATCTCCGATTTCATAGATCCGAATCTCCTAAGTCTGGTAAGAAGAAAGAAAAGTCCAAGAAAAAAAAGAAGGAGAGGAAGCACAAAAAGACCGAGGCCACGTCGTCCGACAGCGACTCCAGCGAAGATTCCGATGATAGCAAGTAATGACGATAATTTATGTATTAAATATCGCAATAATAATAGTTCTTTATGTTAATAATTCTTATAAAATAAAATGAAAATATTTTATATCGCATAATGTTTAAAAAATTTAATTAATTCATTTTTAAAGAGGAGAATGATGTTAAACAATTTATTTTAGTATAAGATTATTTAATCAATATTGATTGTGTAAAACTAATACGTAAGTTAAACGGAAAAAGTAAATAATAAATGGACATTGTGTAGCTTATCTGAGGCCGAATCGAAGAAAAAGAAGAAAAAAAGAAAGAAAAAGCTCAAAGTCGAAGGAAAGGATAAGCATGAGGTATGCACGATGCTTTGAAAAAAAATTAAACAAATTTTCGTCTCTATCTCTGTTCTCTATTTTTACATATATATCTATTTATATATACTTCAGCACGTGAAAGTAGGTGCATGATAACGTCTCTAGTTTTGATTTGTTTCTTCTCAATTTGTTCGATTGACGCTGGGTGATTATTATTGTTATCCAATTTCTCAAATTTGCTACTGTCTCGAAAAGAATAGCATGATTGTCTCCTTCTCCTTGCTGATCCCTTCCGGTTTGCTTGTTATTTTGCGTACATACGATTTTTCATCTGATTTCCAGTTTTTCGACAGTTCATTATTTCAAAGTATAAATCTCAGTATTGTTTGTAATTATTCAGCGCCATTTGACAGGAGATTCCCTGAGTGAGTACCAGATATGCCGCTACTCAATGTATAATTTCTAATTTTGTGGATTCATATGTACTCGTGTACTTTCGAATATTACGAATTTTACTGTTGTGTATAAAAGCCTCTCTATTTCTCACTCGTTGTATGTCGAGCACTATTATACACTAATTGTGAAGATTGATCTCGGAGACTGCTTGGATTGAAATAGAGGATTGAAATATATTCTTATGAAAGAGGAATCGCCACGATTAAAAAGAAAAAGATTAAAGAAATGGAATAATAAAATTTTGGATCTTTTTTTTTTATTCATGAAAATTGTCTAATTTGATATTTATCCTGGAAAAGTGACTTGAAGTTGTTACTCTTTTTAAATTACGTTCTTGTATAATTAGCTTAAATCTAAACGTAATTTTTAAAAATTAATTACACGCGCCTTTTTTAACATAATAATGTTGCATATAGATTTAATTTATAATAATTATATAAATGTTTGTTTTATTACATCTCAAAAGTTCTGAACAGTCCAAAGCTTTCAAACTGATTTCATTACAATTACAATTTTTATGGAAAAAAATTATAATTTTTTGCCCAATCTCTACTCTGGAAACCTCTAGATTTGTTTTTAAAATTGATTTGTTATTATTTTGAGGTGTTTCTCTTCGAGCTATAATTTTTTTCAGATACACAGATGTATATATAATATCAACGAATAAACAATTTCGTATTCTTATTTTTTATCATTATTCACGACTGTTAATTAGAAGATCCGAAAGCAGACTCCAGAAGTTTTTTAAATAAATACGTTGTTCCTTTTTTGTTGCATTTTTTTCATTACATACTTTTGATGAATGCATGATTGATGTTTACTTTAATTAGAATTAATAAACAATTAATTCATATTGGATTTCTTTTTAGAAGAAGAAGACATCGACTAAACGGAAACGTCAATCATCTGAAAGCTCCTCTGATAGGTATGTCAATTACTCTTATTTTCTTAATTTTTTTTAAATTTATATACGTACGATTGTTATTTTACGAACATTTGGCGAAAGCTCGACAATTTTTTTGTAATTCAATTTTTTGTAATAATTTATTTGCTTTAGTTATTATTTACCGGTTCTTTTATTTGATTTCTGATTCGAATCGTGGATTGATCTTACAGTTTCGTGAAAAAACCGAAAAAGTCGTTAAAAAATGAGAAAAATACCGTGGACAAGGCGTTAAGGAATGAAGTTTCCGAGAGTGCTGCGGTTCTTTCGCGAGAACCACTTCCTCCTCGATCGATCCGATCACCAAAGCGAGAAGCATTAGCATTATCTCGAACAACAATATCTCGAAACGAGACTCCACCACTACCATCGTCCACCAAGAATAAAACAAAGAAAGATTCGCCGAAAAAGTGTGTGACAGATAAGCGGGACAAATCGCTGAAGAACCACTACAGGAGTCCTGCTCCATCATTACATAGGCAACATAGATCATCTTCTAGAAGCAGAGGTGATAGAGACAGAATTGAAAGAGACAGGGACAGAGACAAGGATAAAGACAAGGATAGAGACAAGGATAGAGACAGAGATAGAGACAGAGATAGAGACAGGGATAGAGATAGAGGAGGAAGAGAAGGAAGGTCTTCCAGGAGGTACTCGAGATCACGTCGTATGAGTCTGTCTCCCAAACGGAGACGAGGATATTCTAGATCACCTAGGAGACGTAGTAGGCATTCTATGTCCAGGAGTAGGAGTCGCTCCAAATATGATCGCTATGGATCGTCCCGCAGAAGACTCATGTCTCCACCAGCGAGACGTAGAGAGACCGATTCTCGCCGAAGATCGCGCTCAACAGGGCGACAGCAACGTCGACAATCTCGATCGCGCTCTACCTTGAGTTATTCGCCAGTTAGAAAGAATCCAGAGCGTTACAAGGACATCTTGGAGGATCGAAAATCACGACAAGATCAGAAAAAAAAAATTAAAAGCGATAAACCAAAATCGCGCTCGACATCGAGAAGCAAGAAAACACAACAAATAACGGTTGCACCTAGAGTGAGTCTGAGATCGTCGAGCGAGAACGAAGTCGATCTAGCCGATGATGAGCCCAACAAGCAACAAGAGGAAGATGAGGAAAGAAGAATTATAGAATTGAACACATTGAAACGATTGCAGAGTGGCTTGGCAGCAAAGGCACGGGAGACGCTGGAGAAGAAGGTGATCAGTCCCACGAAATTCAAGATTGAGAAGCGAGAAAATGTATTAGATATCGCTCTACCAAGCGAACCGCCAAAAACCATAGCGCAAAATTTAACCGTACATATTCGAGACACGTCAAAGGATCCAATTATGCAGACTCTTCCAATCATCCAATCACCAGTGTCCAGCAGATCACCCTCACCGGCTTTACCTCTCACCCGAGAAGAGGCGGCGATTAAGATCAGATCGCCGAGTGAGTCACCGCCGCCATTGCCTCAGCAATCTTTTAATAAAGTTGATTTTACATCTTCCAACGTGAAGGCTAAGACAAATAGTCAGTTTTTGAGATCGCCAAATTTCTCTGGCAAGAAAGACTCGTCATTTTCAAAGGATGCCTCGAAAAGAGAGTCATCTTCTCGATCTCCTATCAAGATAGTGATATCCAGGGAAGATCACACGATAATAAAATTACGTTCGCCGAGTGAATCACCACCGCCTTTGCTGTCGTTAACTAGAGTAGTGAATTGTCACTCGCCAAAGAAAAGTAAATCGTACTCCAGATCACCATCGAGATCATGCACGAGATCACCGTCTGTCGTGGACAAAGTGAGATCTTCCAGATCGCCGTCCGGAGACAAAAAGTCGCGATCCCGTTCGCGAGGCAAGAAATCATCAGCATCACCTGAACAACGATCTACTTCTAGATCAGCCTCCAGGACAGAGAAATCATCTCCTAAGGCGAGAACGAAACACTCGCCCCGATCAAGATCTCGATCCTCGGAGGAGTCAAAGCGCTCAAGCACGTCGAGATCACCCTCGAGGTGTAAGAAGTCCGCTTCACGATCCAGAAGTAGAAATCGATCGTCATCAAAGAGGAGATCACATAGTCGTTCTTCCCTGTCAAAGAAATCTAGGAGCAGATCGCTGTCGAAGAAGAGATCACATAGCCGTTCGCTATCAAAAAAATCCAAGAGTCGCTCACGATCGGCGTCAAGAATCTCCAGGGACAAGGATAAACGTAGTCATACCAGGAGCAGCTCACGTTCCTCTGTTAGGTAAGGATTGTAATTTAGTGACTAATAAAATTAAATTATATATATAAAAATATAATAATAAGATATATAAATAAAATTATTAAAATATAAAATCTCTAATAAAATTACTAAAATTATACGAAATTAATTAGTAAATGTTTTGTATCTCTTCCCTCTTTAGCTCCAGGCATAGTCGAGCTAGAAGTTTTTCCAGCTCATCAAGATCATCAAGTAGTGTTTTCAGTCGATCCTCTCGCTCCACCTCCAGTAGCTCTGCCTCCAGTAGATCACGTTCACCGTCGATACCTCGACGTTATGGTTCACCTAGTTTTCTAGATAGACGACGTATCACGAGGTAGGTGTCGCGAGTATATTGGATATATATATTGTCGTAGTTTACATAAATATATACATAAATATATATATGTATATACATATATTTACATATATAATAAATATGTATATGTATATATACATATATTTACCATGCACTTTGTACGCGCTCGTGCTGGACTTCGTCCATCACTGTGTGTAATCGTAGATTTTTATTTATCAATTACACGTTTTTTTTAGTTCACATTTATTTTGTTCTTAGAGTTTTGTTATTATTGTTATATGTATATATCGTATCATTATATTATAATCGCTAAAAATATTTAAAAAATAATTTTTAAGTACTTTTCTAAAACTATTCAAAATTTGTTGAAAAAATGTTAAACTTTTTTTCGACGAAAGACAGACTATTTGCTAATATAATTAAAAATTTTCAATATGCTAATATTGTATTTATTGTGTCCTACAGAGACAGATCAAAGGACAGGCATAGAAGATAGAATTATGGCTTCGCACAGCATGTGTATATATATATATATATATAAAACAAAAAGTCTGATATATATATATATATATATACATATATTTATATATATAGACATATATATAGAATTTTCCCTTTTGGTAGTTTAGAGATTTGCAATTAATATTTTTATTGCCAAGAATTAATATCCTTCGTATTGATTTAAAAAATATATCGTGTATTATCTTTTATTTATATTTTTAGGCGCAATGAACGTAATTATCATCTCAATATGTAATAATGGATTTTACTTTTGTCATAATGAGTAAAAAGCGTACTGATTTCCTTCATTTAATATCTAAATAATAAATGATGCACGTCGCTCAATAACGTTTATATATATCTGGTGAATAAAAATATCCTAATCAATGAACTCGACAAAGTGTTAAATGGCGTATGTAGTATATATGACGGTTAATTATAGTACAATTATTTGATCCAGATTATTCAAATTATAAGTGTAATAACGAAAGCAGAAAAGTTTCATGTAAATTATGAACTAAATATTATCGTAATTACTAGCGATCATAATTATCCACAATCTTGCTCATAGAATAATTTAGCGTTGATCTTTTATTTTGTATTTTACAGATTTTTCATTTGTACAATCTTTACTTTCTTCTTTTTTTAATCAAATCACTTGTAATTTTTTGATTCACAAATACCATGTAGATATGGCATGCATGTATGTTTTCTTTTATAAATATTGTAAATTAAATTGTTGTCTTACACATACAGTAGAAAATTCTTTTTATTTGTCAATTGCTAAAAATAAAATGATTTACCGGCAAATGAATTTTTTTTATTTATAATTTATAATTTTAAGTTTCTTAGTTAATATTTTTGCGGTTTCTGAGTGTTTCTTGCGCTAGTGCGTTCTCCAAAGAAACGTTTCGTAAACAGGTAAGTTATCATATTTTTATTTTGCACGTCCTTGTTTCTCTGTAGCTTGCTTAATTAATTTTCCTCATGTTGCATGTGCTATTTGTTTCATTTTTCACATAACAGTCGAATTTTTATTATTGAGATATACATTAATTTTCGAGATATATCTAATTATTAACAAGTTAGCGAGTAAAAATTATCTATTACTAATAATTATTTTTTAATTATTTAATAATTAATACAATAAGTTTCTACTAATGAGTAATAATAATTATTTTATGATATATTACAATTATTTATAACTATTGTCATCATTATCCTCATATAACTATTATTAATATTATTATACATAATTAACTTAATTTTCGCTAATAACATAAGATAATGAAAAATAGTTTATCATTTACTACTCTTTTAAAATTAACATTTGTAAATAACATGCATTCTTCATCAAGAAAATATGATATACTAACGGACATTCCTTTTAGCGCGAGAAAACGTCCGATCCCGTATTATCGACCAACCCCGTCACCACCCTCATCGCCGAGTAGTTCCGAGAGCAGTAAACATACTAAGTGGTCCAGTGCGAGTCATCGATCCAGCTCTGCGAGTCCGTGTTACACGCGTTGAGAATTGAGAAGAACGCATATGTGAATTCGCAATCGACGTACACTAGACTCGCAGCGGCATAGTTCGATCCTTTATGATTTAAAGAAAACCACCGTGTCCAGTTAATTGATTCCCGAGATATTATCAATTTAGACATTTAAATACATATTTAAAGATATATTAATTTAAAAAATTATAATTGTAAATATTAATTTAAAAATGAAAATTTAGATCATAAAGGGTCGAGGAATGTTTTAGAGAAGAAATTTAGTAATGTCTGTTAAGTTTTCTGCGAAAAGGGAGATTGCATTCGAAAAGAAATGAGCATGTTACATTATTTCTTATGAAACTAAGAAAATAATCTTTGTTAGCAATAATTTTGAGTCATTAATGGTTTTCGTGATATTCGATGAATTTCACGAGGAATAATATCATGCTTTCAATTAATTTCGAAACATTTTGTATATAAACTATACACATGATATCAATTAATTCAAATGATACTAGTCTAAAGAACTTTGAAAGATTGAATCAATTTTTAGATATTTTTATGTTAGTAGGAAAACAAATTGTTTATATTAACTTTATGAATTTAGAATAACGATTTTTGCAATCTAAAAATGCAAGAATTATATAAAAATGCAAAGGCAGCTGTTGAATTATTTCGTATTATTTAAATAGTATCTATTTAATTTTATTTTTTTTATTGAAATTTGTAATTTTGAACAGAAATTCCCAAGCATAGGACATAATTGCAAATTTACGTATGTATTTATTTTTTTATGATTAAGCAGGATACTAATTGATTAGTTTATAAAATTTGTTGAAAGAAACAGCAAATATCTCGGTCATAATAATATCACTTATTTAACAATTTTATTGAATATTACAAAATATCAATTTTAGATTTCAAATTTTTTTATTCGAATTACAGTGCAATTTTTCAATTGTTGATACTGGAAGATTATTGTGGAAGAAAATAGATATCTCAATATAGAATTTAATGTATTATACTCTTTCTCTATCTCTTTCTCTAGTCAAACAGACTTATATTACCATGGTGCAGTAACTTTATTTTCCTATAACTTCTAGTCGATGTTTTCACTTAATTTAAAGTGAATATTCAAATGCGAAAGAAAATGCAAAACGAGTAAAGAGCATATTTTAATAATAGGTGTGAGAATTTTCCTTCTGTGAAAAGTGACAAAATATTTGTCTATCCTTAAAACTGTAAATTTCTGTTGTGAATTTTCGTTAAATTATCTGTATATTTTTTAAATTATTATTTATCAACTTATACATAAGCAATAACGGAAGAAAAGGATTTGATCCTTCGTTCATTACTCATTGTATCATAACTGCCTCATATAATATAGCAGTTTAGGCATTTAATTTGCATCTTTTGTATAAATTATGCTATATTATAAATTCGTAAACATCAATGAATCCTGTGTACATGATTTAACGTACGTATTCGTAATTTCTTTCTAGTGCAATGTTATTAATTCGTTTTTTTTTGTATATAGGTATATGGTTTTGTCAGATTTGACATTCTCTTAAATAGTTTAAATCCTCCTTTAAACATATATATAAATTATTTATATATGAATAAAATTTAGTACTTTTTAAATTTATTATTTATTGTATATGTACATGTGATGTATTTATTATTTATTTATTTGATAAAATAATCTTAGATTGAACGATCGTGATAATATTGCGACTCTTTTACATGCAATATTTTCAACTTGGAATAAAATACTCTAGTCACAGGAAGATCATTTTTTGTGAAAGCTCCAGCAACTGGGCTTGGCAGCAACATACTAAAAAGACATAATTAGAATATTAGTCGCAATGCGTGATTACGCGAAGTTAAGTCTCGAAGATACATATATAGGGTTAAAGAAGGATAGTATTTGGAAAATCTACGTTGTTTACAACTTGACAGAGAAACTACTTAATGCTAGTTCTTATACTCATAACGACTAATTCTTTTATTACTAGCATATTCTGCATACTTGAAAATTACATTTCATATGCAATGATGGCTCGATCAACGCTATTTGAGCTCCATATTAATGTAGCTCGGATACATTTTACAATTTTTCCAGTGCAATGATTGTGATTGCTCCCTTCCTGAGATTCGTTTTCGCGTATAATATATATATATATATGTATAATATTATATATTCGAATATACAGCGAAGTTGTGAGAATGTTAAAAGGGTATATAAAGTCGAAAATAATACCTTTTATACGCCGTTGATATTCTGATTACTTAAAACATCTTCGAAATGATAAATTCTATAACAGAAACGACGTGCGAAGAAATCACTTTCAAAATTCGAATTGCTACTTTCAAAGAGCAGAACGCCCTAATAATCTCATCAGTTCGTTTGAGAAGAACTTGTGAAGTAACCGACTCTTGAACCTTATGTCTGTACCCTCCTATGATTTACAGTCAACGAATGTTACTGTGTCGTTAAAATGAAGGAAAATTCGGATATTATATCTGTAATATACTCTGTATTGTTGTTGTGTGATTAAATCGAAAACTTCAAACACACGTCACATTTTGTTTCTGAATTATTCCATATCTCGAAATAAACATAAAAAAATCGTAAAATTATTAAATATGTGTGATTGTTGTATGTGTGTGTGTGTTGTGTGTGTGCGTGTGATTGATATATTAAAATTCTAATATCATAGATAATTTTAACACCAAATAAAAATTATAAAGTAAATAAACGTTGGTATTCAATTAATAAGCTCAATAATAGAAAAGGAAATGATATAACGAACGAATTGTTATATAAGAATAATATATAAATAAATAAAAAAATATGCAGTTTGTATGTAAATCCTTATATTCTTATTTATATCCTATGTGTTATCTAAATAATATCAATTATATTTATATATTATAAATTACACCATTCCAAAATGTGTATTAAGTATAATAAATTGGTATATTTTGTACATTTCTTAGACCAGTATTAACAAATATAACGATGGAATGTATTATTCACATAATATTGCTTATTCACTTTGTACAATGAGAGTGCCGTTAGTACTTCGTAAATTTGTTACACGTATTTGTATAAACTTATAAAGTAATCCTATCGCTTTTAATTTTTAAAATAATCAAGAAGAATCACTTAACACACCATATGCATTTGCGTATTATTAATTAAACACAGTTATAAAAATACTTATAATAATGATTACAAGATTCTCGTATTTTTCTACTTCTCTTTCGAAGCTTTTGCTCTTTTATTAGCAACGTAGATAATCCATGCGAAACCAATCATATTGACGATCAAGACTCTCAACTAAAAAGAAAAAAGAAGAAAGCGTTAATATAATTGCTTCCAACAAATTTTTAATATTGTCTATAAATAATTTTAATATCAGAAAAAAAGAATACTATAAAAAAAGAAACAATATAAAACAATACAAATAATATGCATGTTACCATTGGTGGAACATATCTTATGTTGATATAGTGGAACAACGTCAAATATTTCAGATTAGCCATCAATGTCGGTAAATATAATTTTTGCATCTGAGCATATGCCACTTGATGAGTTTTACCCTGTAAACAAACTTCTCTTTAATATTAAATTACAAAATAAGAACTGTCAAACGTAATAAAATAAAAAAATAATTGTGTGGTTCTCCAAAATATTAATCAAATATAAGTAAAACATCTATATGAACTTCCACGGTTTTTAATGCGTAAATAATATATTTATAAGGTGATAAAATAATTTGCAAACAATTGGAATGTATCTATTAAACGAAGTTAACTGCAAACATTTTAACTCTACAAATCGAGTACTTGACTTCCACATAAAAAGAATTTAAATCCAAAGTCGAAACGTTTGCAGTTAACTTTAGTAAGTACATTCCATTTTTTTATGAATTATATCATATCGCTCATAAATATATTATTTATACACTAATAATCGCACAGGCTCATAAAGGCATTTTATATATAGCTTATATAGTCTGTATACATAGGCTTACCTAATAATTTGAACTTCTAATATTACTTGTTCAGATAACATTATTTAATTTATAACATCATCATGTTCATACCTCAAAGATGGCAAGCATGTAGAGCGCAAGTGCCTGGAAACACGGTGTGTAAATGAGTCTCTCTATAAGAAGAATTCCTAGAGGATGCTTCATGAACAATTGTATGTATGTGTAAAAATAATGGGGTACTGGTCCTCCAAACAATAATCTACAACAACATTTATACATAAGATTGCATGAATTTTTCAACTGCTTCGTTAGCAGTGCAAATAGTCTGCAACTAACCCAAATAGAGCAAAGGCCAGAATACTGTCTTCGTTAAGCTGCTTCGTGCCAGATAATTTCTGAGATGCCACATTTCCAAGGGCGCCAATGATGCAACTGAAAATAATTACAACATTTCTTGTTTCTATCATACCAAGTAAATTGTCACTTTATAACTCTTGTGTGAATGAAATCATATAATTTAAATAATTATGAAATGATAGATTCTGTTTTCAACTTTTGTCATCACATTCTATTAGCGGATGTTATCAATCAATTATAATTATCATGATATAATACATAATGCGTGTTTGTATTATATAGGAATTGGCAATTGTGATTAATTATTACTTTTTTTATATTTTATTTATATACACACATACAATCTAAAAAAATATTGTATTTATCCACATAGCTAAATTCAAAAGATTAATCTATACAAAGTCCAATTTTACCAATATGTAAGATAACTTTAATCTCAGTTTAACTAATTACTGTTTAACTTTTTCTAATTCTTAGAATTAGAAGATAATAAAAAGTAAATTGAATCGATTAAAATAAATCTTACATTGATAGAATTGAGCCTTATGTATTATTGTAATTTGTGAAACTAGAAAAAGATAAAGAATTAGTTGAACAGAGATTAAAATAAAAAAATATATATATACAATATTGATAGAAATTATATATATGTATCTGGAATTTATGTAGCAATATAATTCTGCCTTATTACCTTGTTATAGCTTTTGTTTTCAAAGGACTGTAGTAGAGCCGCTGTAAATACGCACCGAGGAGACTATACAATATATTAACCGGCTTGGAAAGTACCATTTTTTCGCATTAATTGCTACGTATCCTCAACTTCCTGGACCTGGAAGATACGATTCGTATGGTGAGTTGCGGAAAACTCGGATCATGCGATAAAAAGCGGTGCAAAGTGCAAACCGCTGTCAGCTGATAAACGATAGATCCCGATCGACGAGTCGCTTCGGGTCACTCCTAGGATAAATCGCATTTTCACAATCTTTTTTTTGTATTTATTCTGTCACATTTTGTATGAAAACAGATGTATAGAGAGCACGAATACTTGGAGAATTCTAATAAATATCTTGTACAATTACGAAACTAAAGTTTTTAGAAGTCTACTTGCGCAACTCGAACGAGCCAAAATTTGACAATCGATTTTTCTGCTATCAAAATGCGAATGGTTTCGAATACGGCAATTTCAAACAGTTCGAATGATATCGATATAATACGCAAGAATAGTCAAGTCTTTTAAATTCACTGATTGATCAATCCCATTATGCGCAAATGCTTTTACTTCAGAAAAGCTACATAATGCGATTTCGGTGAATTAAAAAAAAATTGTCTACAAAATTTCTCGAGAATTCACGGGGCTTTATAACCTCGATTCGAGACAGACTTCGACATATTGGTTTTCCTGAAGAAATTGCTTTAATCTTTGCAAGATTTTTAATTTTAATAATTGAGAAAAAAATATTTCACCGACTTTGTAGAATGTACATACAAGATCTAGACAACACTCGATACGATCGATCTATGAAGAAATTTAATACGGCCTCCAACCCAAATTCGCAAAAAATCAAACCTGTCCTTACTCCTTAGTTCTTTCGGAACTGAATCGCGAGTTTGACGAAACTCGAGAGATCAATCTGGGATCAATTTGGATACGAAGAACCAAGACACCCGATTCTGTAGCTTCAGTCAATCTTATTCAATGCGAAAGATGTTTGTATACCTTATCCCTCTACAATATCCCACGTGATTGTTTTACGTAATCTCTAAAAAATATTGTTTTATATCGTGTAAAAGATAGGACGTGAATGGTAAATAAATGATCATGCGAAGCATAAAGTATGTAGGTACTCGCTGAAAACACTCTGTTGTTATTACACATCTGCAAATTGCAGTAATTTAATATAACAATAATAATACAATCACAAAGAACAAAAGAATATGTAAAAAAATATTCAAAGAATGACTTTTTAAAGGCCTTTTTCACCAACTCCAATTAATGCTAGTCAATAGTTAACTCAAGCATAATAACTGCCAACGTGAGAAATAAACACAGTTTACCTCGAAAGAGGAAGAGAGAGAAGGCGTTCTAATACATTAAACTAGAGTCCTATGTATAAAGAGAAACGACATCAAATCCCTACCATCAGCAATAGCATCACTCCTTAAGCCGTCATTTGGACAGCTCCAGTGTTGTAAATATATTAACATACTCCAATCGTTTAACTTCCAATGGCTCCAACTCTGTACTCCGATATGGCGGTATTGACTTCTCCGATTAATTTAATTTCATTTGAACTTGTATCATTAATTAATTTGAACAAATCTGACGTAAGAAGAACATGTGCATTATGCGTGCAATGGAACGCAGCCAACGAATATTTTTACAATTACGAGATATGTACATCTCATAATAAATATATACATAAGAAAAATTTAAAAACAATACCATAATAAAAGTGCCAGTATCGCAGCCAATCCGACAGCAAGAATCTGATCCAGCTAGTAAAGACCTATAATCAATGGGTGCGTTCCGAGTTACACATGAAGCGCGTAGACTGCATAGAAAGTCGTTCCGAATTAACTATTGCGCGCTTCGAAAGCACTTCGAGAGACTTGAATTTCCTAGATTATACTAACCGTACTGAATTCTTAAGAGCCTCTTTCACCAACGCCGATTAACTTAATCGACGATTAGTCCATTGGAATTGACCAATCGCGTCTGTCGTCAAAACTAAATGATAAATGCGATTGGTCAATTCCAATGGACCAATCGTCGATTAAGTTAATCGGCGTTGGTGAAAGAGGCCCTAAAGGAGTGTACAGACCAGAGCGGCGCAGCGGTGAAGCGGCGAGCGATAGCCAATGAGAGCCATGCTTTTACGCAAAAGCATGGCTCTCATTGGCTATCGCTCGCCGCTTCACCGCTGCGCCGCTCTGGTCTGTAGGCTCCTTAACGGTCGCCCTTTTATTCCTAATTTCTTCTATTGTGGCTGCACCCTTATGCCTGGTTTATGCTTCGGTCTTAAGGTCTTAATCCTAAAATTCAGCCAATAGAGTTCAAATTTCGGTTAGAACTGGCAGCTTTATTGGTTGAATTTTAGGATCTTGGGATTAAGACTTGAAGCATAAACCAGGCATTAGGGCTACGCAGAATAAAAGGAACAGAGAACAGAGAATAAGAATTTCAACCTATCAGAAATCATGTACTGTGGAATAAACAGTGTGGCCCGTATTCAGAACGCACTTTTATCGATAAAAGCGCGCTTTTATCTCTGAAATTCTATAGTATACGTGACGTAAACTGTAGCATGTTAGCGCGTTCTGAATACGGGCCTGTGTATTCTAGTGTGTATTCCATAGTACATGATTTCTGATAGGTTGAAATTCTTATTCTCTGTTCTCTGTTCCCTGTTCCTTTTATTCTGCGCAGTCCCTTACTGATTAGTACTCGTATCAATTGCACGATGTAAACTAGGCCTATGAATACCAGCCTTTTTTACTCGCATCACTAGCCAGGCCAGCCACCACGTCGATAAAGCAGATCGCTCAGCTATCACCGACCAAGCAACAGCAAGGAATAAATCAAGTAGACGCGCCAGTGGGGCTGGCTGTCCAATCCTACATTACTTCGGTCATCGGTTTCCTGGTCTCTCTATCTTTATCGGTGAAACGGTTGATCGGTAGACTCGCGTTGATGTTGGTCCGTCGTATCGTACGTGGATCGCATGGTATCCGTGTCCGAGTCGTGTTTGTCGTGTCGTGTGCTGTTATCGCACCGTATCGCGATTTGCGTGTCGTATATTCCACAACGTATCGTGTATCGTAAATCACATCGTGTCGTCGCACAATTTCGCTCACTGAGCGCGACTTGTTCGTACGAATAATCGTCGCACTCTCAGTGCCTCGTTCCCGGGAATAGTGGCACACCGTTGAGCGTTTTAAATCGTCGTGGTCTACCGTGCACGGGAAACGTAGCGTCGTTAACGTTAGTTAACGTTAACGGGGAGCTCGAGTTTGGAGTCGTCGACTTCGTCATGCCGTCGGTCGCGGCCACGATGACGACGGCGATGACGGTACGCTCCGTATCGGGAGGAGACGCGTTCTTTCACTGCTGATATGGGGCTACTGACCGAGCGCTTGGTCCTGGTCTCCGCGGGTCCTCCCTGCTTTGAAAATAAATAAAAGTCTCAAGTGGCTCTCTATAAGGAGATCGTGAACGACGACGACGACGACGTCCTTTTCTAAGGTAGACGACTGGGCTCAGGATGGCCTCGACCTCCAGCAGTGCTGTCCAGGTGCTAATGGGCAAGGGTAAACGCGGAGCAGCGGCCTATATCATCAACCTGGCTATTGGTCGGGACACCAGTGGTTGCCCGCCGTATATCAATGAGGTGCTGGATGTCCTGCTGAATCCAAGCAAACCCATCGATGATTGGGAGACCATCGATTGGTGCAAGTGGCTCATGGCTGGTGGCCGAACACCCGACGAGTTCGCCAGTACAGGTGGTTATCCGCGACAAGAAAAATAATCCTGCAAAGAGCAGGATGTATATGACTAATAATGAAATTAATAGTTCAATATAGACCTATAAATTTATATTGATTGTTTTCAAATTTATGATTTCCTATTTAAATATTTTAATTTTGACAGTCCGTCTGAAGGAAGTTGGTACAATATAATAATGGATGTGTATATATACATTTATATATAACACAGGCACATTGCCAAAAAAATAAGAAAATTGCTAATTAGTACGAGTATTAAAGTGATACAGATTAGAACATAATTAAAATAGCTTGATGAGAACATAATTTCTTGTTAGATTTCTCAATTTTTAAATTAAAGTATTGCCGATGAAGACTCGATCTAGAGCTGAAAAGTACATTTTTATATATTTTTGTATTTTGCAACTGTATGTAACTTGTTTTGTTTTTATCGTTTCAATTTTTAATAGACTTATATGGAAACTTTTATTATTAAATAGGTAATATATGTGAGTTAAATAGGTAATATATGTGAGTTCTTGCGGTATTTAATAAAGGTAAATATGCTAGTACAAGATGTGTTCTTCTATAGAAAATATCTATTTGTTATCATTACTTATAAACATTGCATTTGTCTCCTTTTTTGAAGTACTGAAGTATTGATGCTGCAGATGAAACAAAATCAATAAATATTTACTTGTTTAAGCCACAATGTTAATATGAGAAATCTATCGATTCAAAGAAGAAATTTATTATAAATATCTATTTAATTTGTAACACAAAGTACTGAATGTTGTAAACGTTAAAGCCAAATTTATATAATGTGTTAATATGGTTAAATTAAAAAAGAAAAGCACCAAGAATTATAGGAAATAAACGATATTTATTACTAATAAATATAATTTTATGTCTTGTTTTTGCAAAGCTATGATATGAATATATAAACGATATTATATATATACATATATAAATGATATAAATAGAAAATGGTAATTAATACAAATAATGGGTGTGAGTTAAAAAATAAAAGCAAACTTTATTACGAAATGTCAAAAGGACAGTTTTGACTTACAAAGTTTTCTTCAATCAAATAATAATTACGTAAATAAAAAAATTGCTTAAAAATATTCACAGAAATCGGAAGAAAATTAAAAAAGTACAAAATAATTATTTAAAGTAACAATTCTAAAAATAAAGTCCTAACGAATGTATACATCATTATCTGATTAATTGATAAAATGTATCAAATGTAAAAAATAAAATAAAATAAATTAATTAAAATAAAATAAATCTTAGCATATATTCTTTTGTATTCAAAGTTTGTTCTCTAAACCAAGACATGTGATAAATTTTTCTCTTTCTTTCATTTATGTACTTTTTATTCGGCCGAAAAAGAATCTGTAAGTCTAAACTATTTTTTTGATATTTTGCAATAAAGTATATTGTTATTTTTTAATTTAAATTCGTTAGTTATTCATATTGTTATTTTTTTATTGTTATTTTATTTTATAAATATATTTTTATATTGATTACATTAATTTCATAATTAGATAAGTGGCTGACTTAGAAAAAATATCACTTATTGTTTATACTATTTTAAATTTAATTTACTTGAGTAAATATGTAGAGTTATTATTCGTTATAATCACAAATATGATTTGCAGAAAATAAATATTATATATAGATCAGAATAAATAATATTGATTTATTTTATTTTAATATTAATTAAGAATTTTGAAAATAATATTGACAAAAAATAAAATGATAATGTAGTCGTAAACTGTGTAAGCAACATATTGAACTAGAGATTATAAGATTCACGCAAAAATATTAGACACCTACTTTGACGAAATATGGCTTTCTTTTTTGCTTATTTGTAATGAATTTCTCTAACTTCACCTATTATTGTATAATCAATAAAAATCAGTTGTTTTCTATAGCGATTTTTCTAAGGAATAAGAAAATCACAAAACGAGATTTTGTTCATAAATAATTAAAAGATTATTTTTGGATACTAGAAATGTTTTTCATTCATTGCAATATTTTAAAATTCTGCGTAAATTTACTCCTACTTTTTTTGGACAACCTGTATTTAATAGAAATATTTATAACTGTTTGATTATTTAGATATATATATATTAGTGTTTTATCTAAAATCTTTAAAATACGCAGCAATTAGTTTAAGTTTTTCTATTTAAAAATAATTTTAGATAAAAAAAACTTAAATAAAGCTAATTTTATAGTTAAATAATATATCTTATGCTAAAATTATAAAACTTAAAATGCAACCTCTCTTCTACAACAAATATTTTAGTTTTTCAAATTTTATATGTATCATATACTTTTTAAATTTTATACGTTCAAACAATGAGAATGACTCAAGCGAGATCGTTTACAATTATTGTCACATTTCATGCTTTATATTTTAGTTCTATGGTGAACTTTCGTTTTCGTTTTCGATATAATGTTTCGAATTTATTAAAAATTTTATTATTTGTTATCTGGCTCGTAGCCCTTCTACACTTATTTTATAAAACTTAAAAATTATTATCGATATACGAAATTTATATTCTTTGTTATAATAAGTATTATAATAAGTATTCATATACTTCGCTTTGTATACCTTATTTTGCAATGCTGCAATTTTATAAACTATACACGCAGACATAAATATACAGAATTTGCGTATTTGGCAGCGCTAATTTTTCAGATAAACATATAGCCATGAGAAGACAAGTATAGAATTGTAACTATAGTCGATGACGTTTGCTTAACTCACGTTACAAAAATTACATTGAGTTTCTGTTCCAAATGTTATATAAGGGCAATTTTGTGCAGTGAGACATTAATTTTTTAAAAATATATTTTTTAAATATATATGTAAATAATATAAAGTGTATGTTAAGTAACATATAATTACAACATTATTTAGATTACTTATTACTATTCATATCTTGTGTACTTACAATATTAGGAAGAATTTAATTATATCTCACCGAAAATATTTTAGAAGCAAAATATTTTTATTTATATGTAAATTTATATATGTGTGTTATATTTTTACAGATTATATTACTTTTTTTCTATAGATTTATTTGGCTCTTTGCCCTTCTTAGTTTTGTATTGTTTTATACATATAGAGCCTTCTCACTAATTATTTTATATTACTTTTATTAATATGCTCTAATAAAAATAGTAAATATTTAAAAACTCAATAATAATTACAAAAATGTATAATTACAAAATTATGAATGTGATATTAATTGTATTATGGAAACAGATTATAATCGTGTTGTTTATCAATCAAATTTTTATTTTTTTCAGTACGCACTTACGATAATGCTACCACGTGCGGTCTGGTGTGGACACCAAACTTTGTAGCGTATCGCTGTCGTACGTGCGGCATATCTCCCTGTATGTCTTTATGTACCGAGTGTTTCAAGAAGGGAAATCACTATCATCACGACTTCAACATGTTCCTCAGCCAAGCAGGTGGTGCATGTGATTGTGGTGATACATCTGTGATGAAAGAGACTGGGTAAATCGATTAACACAAACACAATATTCTGTAGAAATTTGTGGGATATCTCGAAAACATCTTAATTTTGTTTTAATATTACTGTTGCTCTCATTTTTCAATTTTTTTGGATATATCAAGAATATTTTGATTTCTCAGCAAGCTTGACATATTTCCGCAAATTTTTTTGTGATTTATGAACAAATTCTTGAATTATTTTTTACACGTTGCTGACTTTATTTTCTGTCTTACAGATTTTGTGATAGGCATGGGCCAAACGCGGCTGTAAATAAATCAGTTGCACCGTCTGATCTGATGCGCGTAGCCGAGGCAATGATGCCTAGAATTATTCTTCGACTTATACAACATTTACGTGAAAATTGGTATGTTGAACATTATACTGTGTAAGTTATTATCAATTTTATGAATGAGTAAAAAGAGTAACAGAAGGTAGGTCTTTTCTGCTATATTTTAAATATCTGAACTATTAGAGTGTAAAGAAATTATATCTTATCTGACCTTTTACCACATGATGTAGACTGACACATTTCAGTGTATACATATATCTTCAAATTGCATAATTCATGGTGCTTTTAGAATTAAAGTTACGTATGTCAGAAACGAAGCTTTTTTCAGATACATGTTTATCTATTTTAAATTCTAAAACACATACAGGGTGTCTAAAAAAAACTTGCCTTTAAAATGACATGTTCCTGACATGATCCTATGACAATTTTTTCTTTGTCAAAATTTTATCCAAAGCTTAATTTTTGAATTATAAGGGAAAATAGCAAATTACGGGTCGCATACGGAAGGTAGGCAGGGACGGCGCAACTTATCATTCGACGCGGGCGCTCTGTTGTGATCAGCTGTTTGTTACGTATGAAACGCGTGTCACGATAATACATGTGTTTTCTCTCTCTCCCCTTTCTCTTTCTTACCTTCTAGAGATCTTCATATCGTAGTCGAGCTGGAAAAAGGCAGAATAATATCACTGAACTCTAACGCGATTCTTATAAATCCAACATCGAATAACAATAAACTTTTGTCTGTCACATTGTTTCACGTATCATCTTTAAGCAAATTTACTCATGCACATTTGATCGATTTATAAGCAAATTTATCAATTTGTTATTATTAATCACTACCGAATAATTACTTAGGGACTGAAAATTAATGCTTGAGAAAGAGAAACACATTGCACACAGTAACTGCATTCAAAAATTTTCTTTTTTTTATAATTTGTATCAAAATATGTTCAAGGATTTATTCGATTTTTATAAATGAATTTATTGGCTTACTAGTAATTAATCACTACAGATTAATTATTCGGCAACTGAGAATTACTTCAAACAAATAAACACCAATTGCACGCGGTCATAATCAAATTCCATCGCAAATCAATGTGGCCATGAATTTACACAGGCACTTGAACGAAAAATGAGAAATTTATTAATCTTATTATAGTTAATCACAATAAAATACTACCGATTAATTATTCGACGAGTTGAAATTAATCGAGCGTGTAAACACACGACACACGCAGAGAGAAACCTGAGAGAAGACATGAGGGCCTTTTATCTGTAATAGGCATGTTCAGCGGTCTCAACAGTTGAGTGAGCACTCGCTGTTATTGGTGTATTCTTTTAAATCATCCAATCAGAATTTTAGATCTAGGGGAATACACCAATAACAACGCGCGCTCACTCAATTGTTGAGTTTGTTGAATGTGCCCAATGTAACCGCAAAATGCTTTGCGCATTACCGCTCTGAGGGAGGGTTCACACCTTGACGGAAAAGCGGAAAGCGGAAGAGCAGTTAACCGATCAAAACTCGTGCTGGTAGTATATAGTACAAAACTAACAGAAAGTCGACTACCTGATTGGCTACTGCTTTTCCGCTTTCCGTTTTTCCGTCAAGGTGTGAACCCGCCCTTAGGGTGCAAACCCATGCAGCGGAATAGCGTAACGCGGAACGAGAGCGGAACCAATAACGAGCATTCCGTGTTTCTAGAGAATCTCGTGATTGGTTCTACTCTCATTCCACTCTGCAATCATTGATTTTGATGAGTTTTTAGTATGTTGTTCTCCAGATAAAAATAAGCGATATGTATTTCTTTATATGGGCCGCACTTTTAAGGAGTGAAACCCCACCTTTGAAAAAAATCAGTTTTTCTTTTTCGAAGCGAATATCTTTGAAACTATAAAAAGTAAAAAAATTTTCTACAATGAAAATTGAATGGTTTCAAGAGTACTTTATAAACATAATAAATTTTTTTGGCTCGTAGCCCTTTTTTTTACTATAATACATTTTTTTTATTAGTTATAAAGTACTCTTGAAACCATTCAATTTTCATTGTAGAAATTTTTTTCTACCTCTTATAGTTTCAAAGATATTCGCTTCGAAAGAGAAAAACCGATTTTTTTCAAAGAGATGTTTCTTACCCCTCAAAAGTGCGTATGAGCCTGTATAAAAGAATACGTCGTTTATTTTTATCTGGAAAACATCATACTAAAAACTCATAAAAATCAGAGTGTAACACTTGGGTAGGTTTACTTGTAAGTTTCGGATACAATTTTGTCAAAGGAAAAATTGTTTTAAATATTAAATTATTTTGTAAAATTGTTTTAGGTCATGTCAAAATATATATCAATGTCAGAATATCATATCAAGAACATTTTAAAGACAAAAGTTTTCTTATACAGAATGTACTTATAAATTTGTCATTTTTAATGATCTTTAAAGATTTTTAATGTAAAGAAATGAAATTGGAACAAAATTGTAATAATATATGTTAATAACATGATTTCTAATGAGTCCTAATGATTGATTATTGTTTTGCTTATATTTTAGTAAAATGGGAGTGCCTGATCAAAGAAGTGCTATACATGAGGCAGACGCATATCTGACCATGTTGCTCGACTTGAACAACATGGGTGCATTAATGAGGCATGTCATGACATCAGCTCTCACGAATCCGCAAAAGTACCGAGGTCTCATGGATCCCTCTGTCTTAACCGGACAATCGGAATATGATAGCTACTGCCAAGATAGTAATAAAATATATCAACATGCTGTAAAATCGCTTCCAAATCCCGAACCTCCAGATGAATACAAAGGTAAGTGGTACATTTAGTATTGCAATATAATTTCACGGTAATTTTGCGATAACATTAATAATTTTTACAACAAAATTTACATATATAAACGACTTGTGTGTGACATATTTACTTTTTTAGAATGTGTATCGCTTCAAGAGCACTTAGAACACACGACTTTCTTAGAAGAACTGATGTTCTGGACCGTCGCTTATGAGTTTCCGCAGAAATTGGTCTGTCTGCTTTTGAACATGTTGCCGGATCCCGATTACAAGGAAGCTTTAACTCGTGCCTTTGTCTTGCACTACAGCAGAATCTCGATGATGCTCGAACGTTCAATGGATCCTGATACATTGAGCAATAGAGTTGTGCACGTTAGCGTACAGGTATTTATCTTATTAACTCTCAGTCAGTAAATATTATGACATGCACATTTAAATTTTTATTTACAGTTTGTTTCCATAATATATTAACTTCCGACTTTTATACTTTTCAGCTTTTTAGTAACGAGAAACTAGCGTTAAGAATGGTTGATCAATTGAAGTTATTACATGTTATGGTTATTAGTTTGAAATACATGATGAGCAAAATACTCATTCAGAACACTTTGCACGGTACGTATGAGTTTTTTTAAGATAAAATAAAGATAGCAAGAGCGAAGTCTAACGGAATAGTAAGATTGAAAGAAAGATTTCTATTTCAGATCCAGATAAAAATTTCCATTATGTTGTGGACTGCGGACGTCAAGTGATGAAAGAGCATTGTTACTGGCCATTGGTATCCGATTTGAACAATGTGCTCTCGCATAAACCAGTCGCTGTTAAATTCATGAGCGATAATACTCTCTTGGAAATGTGGTTCGACTTTCTATCTATGTTTCAAGGCATGAATGTTAATCAGAGAGAACTAAGTCAGCATGTCGAATTTGAGCCCAATACATATTATGCGGCGTTCAGTGCTGAGCTGGAAGCTAGCGCATATCCGATGTGGGCTCTTGTGTCGCATCTTCGTGGACCTGAGAGTGCAGCATTAAGTCGACGAGTGCTTACTTTCTGCCTCACAGCTTTGCAAGATTGGCTCGATTCCGTAAATTATACAGATCCGAATGTGGTGAGTACAACTCTTTCTCATACTACATATGTACATACTTTGATTATACTCTAATACATTTAAAATTTATGCGTTCTTTTTTTTTTACCTTTCTTCAGAGTGATAGTTTGCAAGTGTCGTTTCATCTACCGCTTCATCGATACCTCGCAGTGTTTATGTGCCAGGCAATCAGACAGCAGGGAGCAACTCTGCGCGAATTATTGCCACCCACAGATATGTTGCATCTTCTCATGATGCATCCATTGCGTGTTCAGGTGAGTGCGCATTTGTTTTCTTTATCTCAATTAATTCTTCGCGGACACATTATCTGTTTACAAAAGCTCTTCAAATTTTTTTACAATTTAAGATTTTGTATTTATTTCTAATGTAATGCTTTTAACCATATCTTTTATATCAATATGAACAATCCAATATTATTTGGTTAGATTATTTATTTAAATATAAATGTATTTATTTATATAAATATAATTAGATTAATAGAAATATGATTGAAAATCTTTGATCCGCAAAGGGTTAATGGTTTCAAGGTGAATGAAAGATTCCTCATCGATGACTGTTCATGCATGTCTATGATACATTACTCGCAAACAGTCAGCATATATGCAGATATAAACTTTGTCATTATGATAATTTATTTTGAAAGGCATACACATTTATAGGCACATAATGAGAAAATTAAAGTAAAAAGAGTTATGTATAATATTACATATAAAAATATTACAAACTTATTTATGAATATTCTAAATAATATCTATAAACATTTTAAACTAAATCTGGAAAAGATAACTTATAGTTTTATATGAAGTTGCAACATGGTAAAAAATAGCATCTTACAATACTCTTTTCTAATATCTTAACCTTAAATCTAAAATGAAATACTTTCTTAATATAATATAATCTTTTGGAATCTCTATATAAATTTAACATGCAGATATATTTTAATGGTAACCAAATCAAGACCTATAAAAACACGGCAGCAATTTGCGCTTTAAATACTTTGCTCTAGATTGTTTTTATATAAAATTTTTTAATCAGTTTAATAATATAAGTTACTAGTTAACGATTTGTCTAATGATATACCGACAAATGACGGCTTATTAATACAATGAGTATAACAGATTTTAATAAAAAATCTATGTGTAATTACAAAAAGTATAAGACTTAAATATGTGATAACTGTTAATTGCATAGGAAATGTCGGTTTTAGAGATTTTGCATTTTAATTAAATAATTTTTGCGGAAACAAAATATTATAGTTAAAAAAGATTACATTTTCAAGATTTTTTTAAATTAAAAATTGCTTGATTAAATGTAAATAGAAAGAATCTGAAAGTGGAAAGGGTTAAAGATAAAAAATATACTTTTATATTTTGTATCTCAAAATTAAATTCCAACGTCTATTTTTCTTGCTTCGTGTTTATACTTTATTAAAAAATTTGTCAATTTTTTTCAAAGTCGAAATATTCGAAAGTCAACATTTCGTATGCAATAACTCAATACACATCTTCTTTTACCTCGATACGTATATTGAGGTCCTTGGCAAATCACAGGTTCTTTAATCGCTATTTCGATAAAATGAAAGATACAATATTTCTACGTGGCTTTTATCTCATTCGGAGTTTCGAGAACCGGTGGTGCCGGTGGCAAATCGACTTGCAGGTGTGGCGCGAAGTCGTAGGTAGTTAATTTTAGAGCGACGAAACCACCCGAACCTTTTCGACCCTTATGAAAGATACTGGCGCCCGCAAGCGGTACCGACGGATTCGGTATAACTGGTTGAACATCAAGGAAAGGAATCGTACTTTGTGCGGCGTCCTTTTGTCGATCACTCGGTGCGAAGTTCAAGTATTGATTCTCCTCAGAGTCCGGTTCATTTGGCACGAAATTGCGAATCGGTATATCGGGATCGATGTATTTCAGTTCAGTTCTAAAAACAAAAAATATACAATCAGTTTTAGTATTATAAAAAAGATTAAATGTTTTTATTATGCTAAAAAAAGAGACACAAATCTCACCTGTCAGTAACGTCGTTGCTATGCCAAAAACTCTTTTCTTCAGGTTGAATTAACGATCCGGATGTGAAGTTGAACGGAGTTATCATTATTTCCAAATTTAGACGACTACCAACCATTCGGAACCTAACGCCTAAAACAGATTTTATATATTATATACACATATATATATATAATTGTATTGAAATATAATGATGAAATTACTAATTTCTCCAACAATAATTACAAAGATGTAATATATACACAAACATGTATATATTATATACGTGTAAAATGTATGTGTTAACCAAAATCAATTTCGAATTACCTGTTAATAGATGATCTGGTGCTGCCAACAGATCATCGAGATCTAAAGCGCGTTTTTCCCATACTATTGTATGATAATCAACGCCATTTTTAATATGAGAGTCCATGATTGAAAAAGCATCGACCGGTTGCCATTCGATTGTTGATGTATTAATTCCTCCACGTGGAAGTAACTGACCTTCTTGGATTTGTATATGAATAATTCGATTTATCTTTCTTAATCTTATTCCTGTTATGACTCTATAAGAGAATAAGTATTATATCTTCAGTTATCTTTCGTAGATTTTATTGATTTTATTACGTTTATTAAATTTATATTATTAAAATTAAAATTATTAATTCTGTTAATTTTATTAAATTTTATTCGTTATGTTAATCTTTATTATTCAAGATATTAGCTATTCTTACTTGTTGTTCGAAATGTCAGACATCACAGATCGGAGACTGAAATAGCGATCGGAATTCGAATTTTGATCGTCACAATAGCAAAAGCAGTAGCTACAATGCCAGAAAAGCCATCGCCACCAGCTGTCGACTTTAGTTGTTCCTGCAGAACACGTTTTTATATTTCCATAATGAAGACCATTTTCATATTCTATGTATTCGTATCGTCTAGTACTGTTTCTGTCCTAAATGTGAAAAAAATTGTATTAGTGATTAGGAAAAATTATATTATTTTTTAAATTGCAAAATAGGTTTTTTAAATCCATACTATTTTACGGTATGAATCTAGAAACGTAAATTCATACGCAATTGTATAGAAGCACCCGAGATTTAACTTGACCCTTAGGCCGGAATCAGACTACGCATTGAAGAATGAGATTGAAGATTGAAAGATTGAAGTTTGACCAATCAAAATAAAAGGATTCAAAATTTCTTTGTCTTCTCTCATTGGTGAAATTTTAATCTTTAATCTCAATCTTCAATGTATAGTCTGATTCCGACCTTACGGCATGTTCTCATCGATATTCATTTGGTTTAAATTCTCACGGTCCAATAAGATTTGATATTTTACGGTATTTTTTATATTTTTATATAAATTATTTTTTTAATTTCTCAATATTCCCATTTTGTTGTTATAGTTATAATTTTATAATTATTTAAAATTTTTTATTCTAATTTTAGAATAATTATCGTTCTGAATTATACAAATTAAATTTTACTAATTTTTCTGTGTACATAATTCATAATTTTTTTTTGGAATTGTTTTTTTTGTCATTTTAATATTAATGTTATACACAAATTCTTCATACAAAATATATCTGAAAAAGTACCTACCGCCGGACAGATCCACATGTCTGAGTCAATGTACTCGCAGTGCAATATCTTGCCATTACATTGACGTTGTTTCGAACAAAATTGATTTTGATAGCAACCGTACACCTTAGTGTATCCATAATAACCGCAATTCTCTTTGCACGTGCCTTCAGTATTTAAATCTACTTCATTTACAATATATCCTTGGAACAGTTGCTTCAACTCGGTATAGGTTTCACCTAAACAAAAATTGTATATATAAATTATATATATCAAATTATAAATTATATAAATTAATTTCTTTGCGATGTTATTATCCTCAGGCGGTTTTACCTAATTTATGTACACGTGGATCGCATCTCCAAAGACTTCTCGGGGCGTATGCCATTGCAGTTTTTACGGCTCTTAATGTTTCAGACGTTCTTATTGCGTATTGGTGTTTCAATGTTTGTATTTCTTCGCTAAAGTTATTGCCTGTGTTAAAGAATTTATCAGAATTAAAATCATAATCACGCTCAAGTATCGTTTCTCGATTCGCGATAATCTGTATCAAGTGCAACTAAAATCAATTTCTTTAGAGAGCGTTTTTATTTTATTCATTTCTTTTATTAAATGTTTTTTTAAATTGCTATATTTAGCTTCAAGTTTTAACTTGTGATATCCATACGCAAATGCCTTTCATTTCGCTCAGGGAAAAAAGATTGATCTTAATTGTGCAGATCGCGCGACGTCGAAAATACCGTATGTAGGACGTATATTTAAACGTGAGCATCGGTACCACGTACCTTCGTTGTACAGACGTAATAGCATGTATGAGAATTGAATCATAGTGTAACCCTTGATCTCCGTCAGCGCCACGGCATTATACAAATTGTACAGCAGTTGCTGCGGCGATTGCATCTCATTGCACATTTGGTTTGATGCTTCCTGCACATACAAAAATACTTTGCAAATATTTTGAGGACGAGTATTTATGTTATAACGTGATCTGAGATGCTGTGATCACAGGAATGAATGCATCGCTATGATATTTAAACTTCAACAAAAATGCCGTGAATTTTTTTTGGATTTTCGATGTGTACGAGTGAGTCTTTTTATGCCTCAACTAAAAGCTTTAAGCATCTGTTTATTGAACAAGCATTTCCAATATGAAAAAATCGCATGTTGAAGAAAGTCTTCAGAAAAATTTCATTTATGGAGATTTTTACAGGATTGCAGCCGTCTATTAGGTACCTTAAAAGACGCAATGAACAACTTTTCATTGACAATTATACTCGCGATACGATCGAGCGCTATCGGAATCGCAGCGTTCGCATCTCGTAGGATCGTCTCGGCAAAATTCGCGAGTTGTTTTGCATTGATCGATGTATTCAGCTCAATGATCTCGCGTTGCATTTGCCGGAACACCCCATACAGACCGTTGATGCCCTTCATCTCATTCTCGGCCCGGGCCCAAAGCCATAGGGAGTCCAAGGAGTTCAGGTAGTCCTTTCGATCCGAAGGAAATTGCTCATCTACCTGATTACCGAATCTTTTGTACGCTTTGATCAGATGCAAGTACTTCTCTCGCTCTTCGACGTTCATCCACTTTTGTTGATTGGCTAAATCTTCTCTGAGATCTTTCTCCAATGATAACAAAGCCTGTCTAATTGTATCGATCGACGACGCATCATTCTTAA